GTAAATGGTACTGAACATTCATCCTTGACTGATCAGTATATGTTTTGTATAGGAGAGTAGTTGCTTCAGTGTTATCGGATTTTGGGAAATCAGGTTATGGTGAGTGGTATTATGTTTGTTTTGATGACATTCTTGGGGCGTCCTTTCGTGCTAGGGGATGTTAAGCCTATGTAGCACCTTTGTTGAGATATCTCTTTTGCCACCGACGGTTTTGTACGAGTGGGTTTGTTTAATCGATCTCGAGTCAGCCACCGACGGTCGTGAACGGGTGTGCTTTGATTTCGAGACGATTATTCCTTTGTTTTGTCCAGAATGTCATCCCTTGGTATTATGTGGATGTTATTAGCATCAAAGGTGCTTTGAAGAACCCTAATTATCCGAAAGTGTGTGAATTCAGTACGCTCTGTGTAAATAACTACTCCGTGCCATTATATACTACAATTGGGGCTCTAGGGATGTGTAAATTCTGCTTAATCTGTGATTGACTCCTTTGGTATTGTCCTTGACATCATGGGGATTTGTATATGCATTGCCTTATGCTTTTGACGATTATCAAATAATATGGAAAGACTCAATAGAACAGGGGATTGAATGTGGACTGAATTGTAAACCGTAAGCTATTGAATGAATTGAGGACACGTGTATTGTGTTAGAAATTGATTACTTCGATGCTACCTTTGTTGATTCGGGAATTTGTATCTAGATCTACTTCATATTCCGGAAGACTTTTGGTTAACCTTGGATAACTGTGATGAGTCACTGAACTAAATACTGAATCGGATTGTGAATTTCGGAGTTATTAAAGAATGAATTGAACTCTTGTGACAAGGGAATAGACCGAACTCCTATGGTAAAGTTAGTTGGCATTTGAAATAAAAATGTTGACGACCTACGGTGAAGAAGGAAATTGTTGAATTGTGTCTAAATATTTTTCGGTGCCAACTAGTCGAAGTCGAATATCAGACAGTGGCAGAACTACTTCAACCTTTCTCTATTTTGGAATGGAAATAAGAATGTGTGGCTACGAATTTCATTGTGGGGCTACCTTGAGCACCCAAGGTATAAGTCCCGTTTGGGTTACGGTATGTAGGATTACTAAGTTGCTCATTTCCTCTCTGTAAAATTTTCGTATGATGCTTGTAGACTAGCCACCGTTTACATCGATAAGATCTCTCGTTTGCATAGGGCCCCAGTATCTATTGTTTTAGACAGGAATCCTAAAATGTGCCCGAATTCTGATAAGCCTTCAAGAGGCAATGGGGACTGAATTGTGATTCGACGCTGCTTGCCGTCCGAAAATCGATGTATAATTAGAAAGAACTTTTGGGAGAAATTCTCCAAATATATTCAGTAGATCTTTCAGGGAATGTGGAAAGTCTATTCGTTGTTGGCAGACTCTGCTTACAACAACAGCTTGCACCCTGGTATCGGTGTGGCACAGTGCAAAACCTCGTATGGCGGAAAAGGTAAGCCTCTGATTGATTAAAAATAGAATGTTGCTTGATTTTAAGACCGAGCAAATAACTATCTAAAGGATAGCACTGGAACTGTTGAATAAGAAGTATTCCGAATTGCTTTCGACTGAAGGTAAAATAATTTTGGAGGACCAAACTTCCAAAAGGGAGGAAGACTGTGATACCTCTGTTCCGTATTATGCTAATTTATCCTCCTTATGCATATGATTATGCGTTTGATATGATTTTGAGTGCCATTTACATGAATATATGTGGTTTTGAATTTCTATCAGTTTACCGCAGGAATATCTATTTGATTATCTGCTTCGGAAATTAAATTGAAGGCTTTATCGGCCACAGAAGCCGAAATTGGCTGCGCCATTGTGATCAGCGTAATTTTTAGAGCCTACGGTAAAATTTGATTGAAAATTGATTTGGATCAGATTAATTGGATTAATTTAATGAATTAGTGCTCAATTATTTTATAATAAAATAATGTAATTGAGAGGGAGCCTTTAAAGGGCCATTTTACATCCTCACTTTGCTCCTTTTGAGCTTATCATCCGAAACTATGCTCTAGAGAGAGAAGGGAGTCGAAATTAGTGAGAAAATGAGCTCAAGGAAGAGTTTTGGCTAGGGAACTTGATAGTTTTGAAGCTATACTCAAGAATTTGTTGTTGATTGGAAAAATTGAGCCTCTAGGTAAGCATTTGATCTTGAATTCATAAGTTTGAATTTGTGATTTCGTAAGTTCAAGGTTTGTTTGTGATCAAGGGCATAATTTGAGTTGAATTTATTGAATTGGGAGTTTATATGAGCATGCATGTGCATGAATGCTATAGTGTTGCATATTCATGCAAGAGCCATGTTGAACAAAAGGAATTGGGCATCAAATCTCACATGCATGCATGGTTTTTATAAGTTCCATGATCATAAGCCTTATTTGTACCATTTGAACTCGAATTGAAAGCCAAAACTTACAAGCATGTTTGATTATTGAAGATATGAAGCTCATATGGGGTTTGAAAGCATAAGCCATGATTATACAAGAATGTTGATTGATTTTGGAGAATTGAACCATGATTTTGAGTGATTAGCTTCATATTGTTTGTGTACCCTTGAAATATAATGTGTTTATATGTTTTTGGGACTGAAATCATGAGTTGAGACCTTTGAACATCAAAATAGAACTCCAAGAACAATTCTGGAATTTCCAGAAAGTTTGATGTCCGCTCGAGCGGGGGAACCGCCGCCCGAGCGTGAAATTCGTGCTCTCAGCATATTTTTGCAGACATGGTTCCCGCTCGAACGGGGGAAGTTGACGCTCGAGCGGGGAGCTATTTAGACAGACTTTTCGCTTGAGCGCCTGAGTTCACGCTCGAGCGTGAATTTGATGCAACCAGTACTTTTGCAGACCTATTGGGCCCGCTCGAGCGGAGACCCTGTTTCTGAAAATTTTGTGTGATCGTTCTGTGTTTCGTTTTCTGTTCTCTTTCACTTACAAGCACTCTTAGGCATGCATTAAGCATTGTAATTAAGTTAAAGAGATAAGAATGAAGCCTAAAGAGGAATATGTGAATTAGAGAACGGATTGAATCGTTTGTGACCCATATGTGTTATATGATGTGTAGGGTCAAGCTCCAGGGCAAATCCATAAGCCGATCACTGTGAGTAATATCGATATTTTAAAGTTTGTCAATTGTCCAATTGCTTATTTCTTTACAAGTTTGCTAGTTTGAATTACGAACAACCGATTGACATGAATAATTGGGCCGAAGGCCGTTTTGACACGAATGGATGGGCCGAAGGCCATTTTGACATGAATGGATGGGCCGAAGGCCATTTTGACATGGATGAATGTGCCGAAGGCCGTTTTGGCATGAATGAATGGGCCAGAGGCCAGTTTGACATGAATGAATAGGCCAGAGGCCAATTTGACATGAATAAATGGGCCAGAGGCCAGTTTAACATGAATGAATAGGCCAGAGGCCGTTTTGACATGGATGAATGGGCCAGAGGCCGTTTTGACATAAATGAATGGGCCAGAGGCCAGTTTGACACGAATGACAGTTTGACACGAATAACAGTTTGACACGAATGATAGTTTGACATGCGTAACAGTTTGACCTGAAAGTATGAATGGGCCAAAGGCCAGTTTGACAGGAATGATACGAATGGATTGGGCCTGAGGCCGTATAATGTGTTTGGAACCGCAGTTACTTAACTTACATATATCTATGTATGTATGTATTAGTTAGAAATATGAATTGGGCCCTAGGCCGTTTGATGTATATTGTTCCAATGTATATTCCTTATTTGATATTATTCACTGGGCTTTTGCTCATGCTCATTCATGTGTTTATAGGTGAGCCAAGAGGAGTTCAAACCCAGCTCCAGTGAAGTCTGTATAGAACAACTAAGGTTTTGAAGAGTCAGCCCTCGCGTCTCACGCACGAGACACGTCTTCGCCCTTTTGCCATTCTATGTTATTTTGTCCTGTTGGCGAGGACTTTGGTGTACGTCTGTATATAGCTTTGTTTTAGCTGACTTAGAATTGAATGATCCTGTATGTATAGAACTTTATGTTATTATACCTTCTGTTGTGAGTTATTAACATATGTTTGTATGGAATGTTATGATGTGCATATAAGCACAGCTCTATGGACAAAGTTTTAAAATTGCTTCCGTTTGGCCCCTTTACTCTGATGAGTTTTGTCTTATTTGGTTTGAGGTCGTAGGTAATCTCGTGATTACTGGCCGGTTATGGCCTTAACTCATAGGGGCGGGTTACGGTCGTGACAGATTGCGTCCGTATATAAGTTTTGGTTTGTATGTTAATGACATATGTATGATCTTGGACATGTGAGACTTCCTATGTACATATGGGTGTGAGTTATTAATATATATGAGATATTATTGTTCATACCATTTATGCACAAGCTTATTGGACAAATTTTATATTTCTTCTTTCGCTTCTAGCCCCGTATAATTAAATATGAATTGATTTCTATCTGAGGTCGTATGTAAACTTATGATTACTGGACGGTTATGATCCTAACCTCTAAAGGTGGGTTCGGGTCGTGACATATATTGTGATAATAAAGTTGCAATCAACATAGCTCACAATCCGGTTCAACATGATAGGACAAAACATGTTGAGATTGGGCGCCACTTCATCAAGGAGAAACTCACTAGCAGCACGATATGTACTCCTTTTGTGAAGTCTGGTGAACAATTTGCAGACATCCTCACCAAGGTGTGGAGGAGAGTAACATATTTCATGATATTCTTGGTAAGCTGGATATGAGATATATCTACACACCAGTTTGAGGGAGAGTGTTGGAATATTACGTTAAAATATTACGTTATGATTTGATCTGGCTGTAATTTCCTTATTGTGAACTTTACTTATTTGTGCCTAAAGGCTTCCATTGTAAACTTCGTATTATCAATATAAAAAGGGGATGACTGTCACGTCATTCCCTAAGTTTTTCCTTGTCTCAAACAGACAACCATCATATAGGAGGATGCAAACAAGGTTACACAACATTGTAAAAACTTACGTAAGTCAAATAGAAACTAAGACCAAATAGAGCAAGGACAGATTTACTTCCATAAATCTCTTTGGTTCCTTGTCTGTATTCCGCATTTTCCAATATTACCCACATACCCGTTGATTGTAGTACGTGTTTTCCTATGCTACCAACAATTTACTTCTGAAAGTAAATTACCCTTTAACAATCAGCACCCCATTGACATTATGGGAAGCCTCATCGATGCCAATAATTAAGTATAGCTTCAAGTAAAAGTTTTAAGCTGCAACACCAAAAAAGTAAAGGAGGTAGATTAGATTATTTGCAGGACTATCTTTAAAATCACAACTTTGAACAATAGCTAAATTCTGAATGATCATGTTACAATAAGACTAAGGACCCATTTGCCATTATCTATCTTGAAGTCTATTTCTTGCTTTGCAACCAACAGCCCAAAGAAAAGCTAATGCTAAAAGGTTCAGATTTACTCCAAGCTTCCAACACAAAGAAGAGTACAAATTGGTTAGATATCCGCAACTTATCCAGTGCACATTTGTATATCAGAATCATAAACCTCCACAACCTGTCTCAAAGAAGTACCTGTAGAGGGCATCTTTTTAATTACAAGATGTGGCATTGATTGCTAAAAGGAAGCATGTCACTCCAATGAATTTCATGAATGCCATATACACAGTATAACCATATACCATTTAGTGGCATGAAAGCTCCTTGGTTTACAAATACAGATAAGAAACACACATTTGAGATTATAACAGGACTAACCTGTGGGCTGGGGGTCACCGATTCATATTATTTCCTGCCATTTCAGATGCTAAAGATGAAGCACTTGTGTAATTATTTGTTCCATTTTCCTTCTTGTATGAAGGTTTACCAAGTAAAACTCCAGACTCTGAAAAGGAAACCAGTGTCAAGATCAAACAAGAAGTACAAGAATTCAAAGAATGAACTCTTGCCAAAAATTGCAATTCCATCAGCATACCAGAAGTGCTGAATTGGGTTGAGCCACCTCATCCAACATAATGATCAGTGCCACCCCTAACTCCCACGACTTGAAGAGTTACTAAAGCCATGTGACCTGGATTCTGTTATATCCTTATTCTGAAACAATGAACACAAGACAAGTGAAAATGGCTGACAAGGTGAGCCTTTAACGAGCGCTATCAATAAATCTCAAGCTTAACAGAGCTGCAATAATAAGCTTACCCTATTCCACCAGAAGCAGGAAAAAATATCCAAGTCCCTTGTGCATAGTAAAACACGTGGTCATCCTAATCTCATGTTATGACATTAGGGAAAACAGCAGAGAAATCAAAAAACAAAAAGGCCACAATTTCATCAGATCCGGTAGGACCGGAACGGTAGAAAGCATTAGTCATACATGACCAAGCTCTAAAAGGGGAAAGTCAACTATCCAAAATACAAATCAGAGATTTTCAGCATTTTTCACAGCCACACCCCCCTTTTTTCTTTTCTCGTTTGGTCTTCACCTCATGAAAAGGATCTAGAAATTTGATGAAGTTCAAATTAGAATTGTGGTTGAATATTTGAAAAAACATAGAAGCGATACCCTAGAATTTTCTTTGCCACTAAATCCCAGGGCTAGCACAAGCAATAATATGAAAGAAATAACACATGTGAATGATAATTTGAAGTAAAAAGAGGGGGAAAGAAAAAAGGAATTTGCATACCAATAAATTGATAGAACAGTAAGGTCTAAGCTGTATCCAATACCTGGCAAACAACCACTAATATAGTTGAAGCAAGCATGGTGAAGGAATAATAATGGTGTAAATATGATCATGCTACAATACGCAAGGTCCTTCACTTTATTGAACACTGACAGCTGTCAAGTTATCATACTTCTTATCCCAGCTTCACCACTTGCAAATAAAAAAAGCACTTCCTGTTTTGATATTGTTTTTTTTATTGTATTTTATTTTTTTTGATCGGCAAAATAAATAAAACTTTATTGATAACGATGAAAGGTACAAGATGTACACACAAAAATATCTAAACATTAATAAAGAGGGGAGGGTGCAAAAAGCATCACAATAGGCTAGATCATCCCAACTATGTTGACACCAAAAAGCCCATTCTATCATAGGCTAAGCACCCCCAAAGAAAGCAATCAACTAAAACAGAAACAAATAAACACCTCAACCACCATTCCAAAAGCACAAGAAGCCTGATAAACACAGACACAGCTAACAGGACTAGTGAACTTAATATATAATGGGACCAAATCCAATTGCAATATGAAACAAAAACATGTGATGATAATTTTCTTTTCTTCATGATTCAACTTTTCCGACCCATATTGATAGGCAATAAGACAAAGCTGTTCAAGCCAATAAAATTGTACAGCCTCAACCAATCCACATGTAATGATGTTTACCTGGCCATTAAATTTTTATATTGCAATGAAGCATGAATCCTAGGTCCCATTACTAGGAGCAAGAGTAACTATGAGAATTCGAATATACAAACAAAATAAATAATTAAATAATAATTACGTTATAAATCCCAAATATTTTACATGTGAATCTTAATGTGTAAATTAAATATTAATGAACGATCTTATAATTAATTTTAAAACCTAAAATAAATTTATAGTGAAAGTCTTTAATTTTGAAGTAAGATTTATTATTAAAAAAAATAGTAGACAAATTAGTTAGTATATTTTGATCTAGTAATAGTTGTATTTTATTCAAATTAATGGAGAGAGAAAAATAAAACAAAAGATAATAATTTAGAACATTTTGTTTTTATATGTACATATAGGAACCCTAGG